TGACTTCTTTATGTAAAATAAGAGTATCCATTTTTCTTTTTTAATGGTTTCTCTGTAGCTTTGGAACCTGTCCTGGAACTAGCTCTTGTAGACCAGGCTGGCCTCGAACTCACAGAGATCCACCTGCCTCTACCTCCCCAGTGCTGGGATTAAGAGTATCCATCTTATCACCATATGAATTTGCTTTTGTCATTAGTAAATGGTATGAAGTTTATACTACTGGAATTAATATCATTTGATTTCTGACTGTGTTTGTAGCGTGACTAGTCAGGTCCTCTGTCACCATGCCTTCCTCACCATGATGGCACATTCCCCTTGGAAGTATAAGACAGAAGAAACCTTCCCTCCCTTCTTTTAAAATTATTTTTATCAATTAAAGCAAATGTAAACTAAGGGCTGAAGGGATGGCTCAGTGGTTAAGAACATTGACTGCTCTTCCAGAGGACCCGGGTTCAATTCCCAGCACCCACATGGCAGCTCACAACTGACTGTAACTTCAAGATCTGACACCTTCACACAGACATACATGCAGGCAAAACACTGATATACATAATTTTTTAGAAAAGGAAATATAAACCAAAGAATTGTTTTAAAGTACATTTCTTCCTGGTTTATTAACCAATGCAAGTTCAGCTTGTAGAACTATTTTATATATCTATAAATCTGGTATTTTAGGAGGAAAGTGTTGCAAATGGGGAAATTGGAGAAGCCCTGTTCAAGATTCAGGCTTTGTGTCACACACTCTTAATCCCTGAACACCAGGGACAGGGAGGCAGGCTGATGTCTATTGGTTCAAGGTCAGCCTAGTAACAGAGTTCCAGCCCAGATGAAGGGGACTATGACTAATAAATTCTTTTTCCTTGAAACAGTGTTTTTCTGTGTAGCTGTGGCTGTCCTAGAACTTGCTCTGTAGGCCAGGCTGGTCTCGAACTCAGAGTGAGTTCCCAAGTGCTGGGATTAAAGGCGTGTCCCACCACCGCCCAGCTTTCTTTTTCTCTTGCAGGTCACTGATAAAATATTTTCTCCCTGATATGATGCTTGGACTTGATCATTAGTTTGACAGGTTCCCAGTCACCTAGGAGGCACACCTTTAGGTGTGTCTGTGAGAGTATTTCTAAAGATGAATAGTTGACAGGGGAAGACCTACCCTCCTTATGAGTGGCACCCTTTAAGATGTGGTCCAGATATAACAAAGTCTAAGAGCAGTGTGAGCCTGCCTGTCTGTCTTTGCTGCCACCTTCCTCTGCTAACATCAGAATCCAGCATTGTCAGCCTTCCGAAGTGGATTTGTTACCAACGCCTTTCTAGGGTACTTTCAGGCTTTTAACCCTAGATAGGGACTTCTGATACACCCAACAATGTAAACAGAAACAACCTATCATTAAAGGGATGTGCTCTATACATGAGCAGGCTCAAGGACATTCTGCAGGCATGAGCGAGTACCACGAAGTGGCCCAGGTGCTTATTGTTCCTTTTCCTGCTATAGCATCTTCTACTCCCAAGCATGTGCCTTCATTCTCAAGAGATGTGCGGTGTCAATTACTGAGGAAGAGAAGACTGGGCCTGGTCTATAGATGATCCGGAACACTATGCAGGCACCACTTGGACATGGACAGCTGCCGTATCACAGTGTGTGCTGTGGTTCCAATGTGAAAAGCTCCCGTACCATAAGGGCTCATGTTTGAACCCTTGCAGCATCCCCCACCACCCGTGGTGCTGTTTGGGAAGGTATAGAACTCTTTTTAGGAAGTGAGGCCTTGTTGGAGAGCTGGGGAGTTACCATGGACCTTGAGGCTTCATAGCCTGTTCACATTCGGTCTCTGCGTGCAGAGGGAATGCAGCCAATTGTCTTCTTCTGTCACCTTGCTTCCCGGCCTGTTGTCAGGCCTTTTCAGACAAGATGGACTGTATCTCTCCAAAACTGTAAGCCAAAAACAAAACCCTTTCTCCCACAAGTTGTTCTTGTCAGTCTATTTTCTCATAGCCACTATAAAGACATCCTGAAACCACACTTTTGTTTTTATTAGGGAGGCAAATGGACCCCTAGAACACTGATCTCCTCTGTGGATTAATACACTGAGTTCAGAGAAGGGGGCTATCAGGGTAGGGTCTAGCTGGAGGGATGGGCCTCTGTTCTCTCGCTCCCCCTCTCCCTCCCCCTCTCCCTTTTCTCTCCCTACTAGTTTCTTGGAGGTAAGCAGCTTTCCTTTACCATGAACTTCCTCCATGATGCTTCTGCCTTGCCATGGGCCTAAAAATAATGCACTGGACAGCCATTGACTTAAACCTATGAGACCATAAACAAATCCGATTTCCTCACTTGAGCTTTTTGTCACAGCATCATTAACAACAACAAAACCTAACACCCAAGTTGTCTTAAATGGTGATGCAAGAGAGAGGGGGCAGTGAAGAGAGGCAGGCAAATTCATAGAAGTATCAGTCGACTGTAGTGAATTTGGTGCTTGTTTGCAGGATGACAACTGAGTCAGCTCTGACAGCTTCTCACCAGAGTCAGAGACTGGCGATGGGAGAGCCACACTGCCAGAGTTCAGCAGAAGAGCAGAAGCATCCTTTCTGTGGTGTGGTTTCTTTGTGGGTCTGATCCTCTAGCCCCGTGGTTCTCAACCTTCCTAGTGCTACAACCTTTTCACACAGTTTCTTGTGTTATGGTGATGCCCAACCATAAAATTGTTTCATTGCTAATTCATAACTGTAATTTTGCTACTGTTTTAAATCATAAGGTAAATATCTGATATACAGGATATTTCATGTGGGATCCCCAAATGGGGTCATGGCCCAAAGGTTGAGAACCACTTATCTAGCCTGCTTTCATGACCTGCCTATGTTGCTAACTTGACTCTTCACCCTTTCCTTTTAAGACGCATTATTATTTTAAAACCCTGTGTGTGTGTGTGTGTGTGTGTGTGTGTATGTGTGTGTGTGTGTGAGGGCACGCGCACGTGCACACATGCATGTGCATGCACAAGAATGTATGTGTGCACACTCACATACCTGTATGCCTCTGACCCTGTATTCAGTAGCGCATGGATGCCAGAAGAAGGCAGCAGATCTACCTGGAGTTCGAGTTACAGATGGTTATAAGCTGTCAATGTGGGTGCTGGGAACCAGAAGAGTAGCATGCCCTCTTAACTGCTGAGTCGTATCTCAAGCCTTCTCTTTAGACTTTTCTAGCGATTCAGTGAGCTCCCCAAGGATTTTTTTTAATGTATTCCATTTCTGCTTCTGTTAACCAGTACCAGTTTTTGCTACTACTGAAGACCATAGCAGCCTAACTATTCCATCATTTCTAGATATACTTAACCGCAAAGAGTATGATCTTGCAGTGTATAGTATCGCTAAATAAATCCATGATTAGTTTTGCAACTGGTTTGGGAGTTCTGTCTGGGTTCTGTTTCAGTCTTGTGTGCCTCAGGAAACAGGAGAAACAGCAGCAGATAAGGTAACTGTCCTTTGATTCTCAAAATACGTGTTGTCCGAATCCAAATCGCATCTCTCTCTGACTTTCACAATTCTTAGTTTGTACTCTTATCCACCCACTCAACAAACACTAGTTCAGCACAAACTGTATCTATGGCAGTATGCCAGGTACTGAAGAAATCCAAGGATCAATGAGAAACAATCTTGAGAATATGCTTTTGAATTTTAAATGAGACAAATGTATTTTTTCAGTAGGTAAAGTTTAAAGATTGATTGCTCTTGGAGAAAGAAGTACAGGAGAATTGTTTTTATCTTTGGGTTTTATCTTTGTACGCAGGAGGAAGTGATGTTTATGTCTTTGTAAATGTTTGAGAAATCATTATTTAAAAAACAAACCCGGGGCAGGTGTAGTGTGCATGACTTTAATCCTAGCACTTGGGAGAGGCAGGCAGGTTTCTGTGAGTCCGTGGCCAGGCTGGTCTATATAGTGAGTTCCAGGTCATGGCTACCTAGTGAGATGCTGTCTTTGGATAAATAATACTAGATAGAGCCGTACCCACACACAAGCTTAGGTTATCCGGATAAAAAATGTTTTGTCAATTTCACAGTAATTTGCACTTCCAACTATGAGTTCAATGTCAAGCACAGGTGGCTATGGCTACTGGGGACCCTGTCTGTAGAATTAACCTCCGAGTCTTCGGTGCCCAGAAGGGACCCTTGCTCACTGTAATATGAAATAAAATATCAGCATGGCCAAGAAGAAACCACTGGTGGCTTTATGTGCTCCACGGATGGAATTCACAAGTCTCAACTAAGGTTAGGTTTTGGTCGACTTGACACCAGTTAAGGTTATCTGGGAAGAGGGAGCCTCAGTTGAGAAAATGCGTCTATCAGATTGACCTATAGGTAGGTCTGAGGGGGTATTTTCTTGATTAACGATTGCCTTGGGAGGGCCGAGCCCTGTGGGTGGTGACACACTTGAAGGCCTAGGTTGTAGAAAAAAGCAGGTGTGGAGAAGGCAAGCAAACATCATTCCTCTATAGTCTTTGCTTCAGTTCCTGCCACCAACTTCCCGCCCTGCTTGAGTTCCTGCCCGGTTCCCTATAGAGAGGACTGTGATACTGAAGTCTTCTCTCCAAATTGCTTTTGGTCATGGTGTTTAAAAACAGCAATAGAAAACAAATTAAGACACGGCCCTTGAGCTCAGTGATTCGGGTCCCAGCACAGAGACCCTTTCCCAGGAGGAGGGCCCACGAGCAGGCTCCTCATCCCAGTGCGGTGGGAGTGGAGGGGGTTTGAGCAGTGGGGCAGGTGAGTTGGCAGGTGGGGCGCTATCCCGCCCTCAATCCGCGGAGGCGAGGCCTGGGAACGCCCTCGGCCTCTGGGTGACTCAGGGAGCGCGCGGCAAACAACCTGGCCCCAGAGTGGCAACTGACAAAGGCGGGGGCGCGCTCTGCGCGTGCACAGCAGGCAGCGGAGCTTCCCTGGGCTCTGCTGTCGGAGCCCAGCGGGTGCGAGTGACACCGGAGGGCGCGTGCGCGGTGAGTCCAGCCCGGCGACAGGATGCCGCCAGGAGGGCTGCGGGGAAACAGCTGCCGGACAGATGAGGAGCGCGAGGTGGGGGGCAGAGAGGCGGGGTGCGGCCGGATCCCAGGCCCCAGGTGCTGGGTCTCCAGCCTCTTAAGAGCTCAAGTCACCCGTTCCAGGTGGCTCCACCGCGCCTCTTTCTGGGTGGGAAACAGGTCCAGGAAGGTAAGCTGGACTAGAACAAATTACTGTTCTGTATTTTTTTTTTTTTTTAAAAAAATCTCGTTGCCTGTGTCGGATGTGAGGCGGCTTTTCATAAGAAGCCATTCATTAAGACAAAGGAAAGATTCAAACGACGGTAAGGAATCCAGGCTAAAAACTATACTTTTGAGTAGATCGGCAAGGCCGGGGACGAAAAGATCAGAAATCCGAGATGGACTGAAGGGAGTATTGGCCCGGTAGAGAAGTGCTGTCAGAACTGGGTCCAGGAGGCGAACTGAAGCTCCTGAGTGCTGGCCAATTTGAAGTGGAAAAGTGCGCCCCTGGCGCAGGTGCGGACTCTTGGCCCTCTGGGGGTCAGTGATCCCGAGGAATAACTGTCCACTGGTTCTGCCCACAAGTTCGGGCAGAACTTGTGCGAACAGTTCGTTCTATAGCAGAGAGGGAGCCGGTGCCGGAGCAGGCTACCTTCTGAACTCCCATGTGAACTGGGAAGACCTGTTTGCCTTTTTTCCAGGCCCAGTGCCTTGCCCTCCAGATTGTTTTGAGTGGAAAGCCTGGTTGCTTGGCACGCTGTTCGTGCTCAACAGAAGGGCTGATGCTGATAATCCAGTCAAACACAGCTGTGCCAGTTAGGGACGACCTGGAAGGAACTGGACTGTATACAAAGTAAAATAAGATGAAAACTTTAAAACGTGTGTGTACATGGGCGGAGTTGGGGAGATCCCGCAACAGGTAAAACCTGGCAAACATGAAGGCGTGACGTCGGATCCCTGACACACACTCAAAAGCCCTACTCTTCTGGGGGAGGCTGTAACTCCAGCACAAGGGGTAGAGGCAGGCAGAGATAAAGAGTTCCTTGAGGCTTGCTGGCCAGCCACCCTAACCAAATAGGTGAGCTTCAGGTTCAGTGGGAGATTGCCAAACAGCAGGGTGTAGAAAGACCAAGGAAGATATCCTGCCAGGACCTCTGACCCCCACTCACATGCACCACCCCAAAGACAAAAATGTACCCATGAAAGTAGAATAAAATCAATGATATAGTGACTAGCAAAACCCAGCACGTACCTTGGCGAGAGTGCCTTAAATAAGGATACAGTGTTGTACTCCATTCACTATTTGTTTATTGATTGATTGGTTGGTTGGTTGGTTTTACGAGACATGGTTTCTCTGTAGCTTTGGAGGCTGTCCTGGAACTCGCTCTGTAGGTCAGGCTGGCCTTGAACTCAGATCTGCCTGCCTCTGCCTCCCTAGTGCTGGGATTAAAAGCATACACCACTACCGTCCGGCTCCATTCACTATTTTTTAAAATACTTGTATTTATTTTAATTATATGTATGTGTGTGCCTGTGGGTGGGAGTGAGCATGTGGGTGCAGGTCTCTCAGGTCAGATGCCTCCTATCCCCATGGCTACAGGTGGTCAGGAGCTGCATGACATTGCCAAGGGGAATTGAACTCGGGTCCTCTGGAAGAGCGGCAAGCATTCTTAATCATTGAACCCTCTCTCCAGTCCCTCAGTTGACTATATGACCCAAAGTCGAAACTACCAGATGTTCTAACAAGGATGGTTCTTAAGCATTGCTTGCCCCTTTCAAATGGGGCCAGAAACTTATGGTGTGTTTTTAAGTGAGGGAAGGAGGACATGACCTGGGACCTGGCAGCACCATTCTTGTTCAGACACACGGGCTCATTGAATTTCTGCCAGGGCACAGGATTCACCAACAGCTGGCTCGCATCTCCCTTGGCTCAGCGGATTACTGTGGTGAACAGTGCCTCGGTTGATTCTGCTCCAGCTCAAATCAATGGCTTTTTATTTAACTATGGAGGAGGCGGGTGTGTCTGAGTGCTGTCCCCAAAGCAGCATGGCATTTATCAAGCTTGACGTGCCACAGCCTGGCACTTGTTTATTGATGGGCTGAAGAACTTTGAATCTGTGGACCTGGAATTGTGAAGTCACCGTCTGGGCAGACCCATGGGTCTATGAAAAGACCTGTTCTTTAAAAATAAAAAATAGTGCATGGCCTCCTTTCTCTACCTTTCAGCCTTCCAAGGAGAGCCAGAGAAAGGCAAGTAGCTGTTGCTGTTTAATTTGGGTTCAGACACATACCACCTGTCTGCCCATGCATTTACAATGAGAAGGAAGTTTATGTGTGTGTGCACGTGTGTGTGTGTGTGCGCATACATGTGCGTGCACTGCGTGCATGTGATGTCTTTGCTCTTTCCCACCTCCGTATCCCTGTTTTCTTAGCTCACAGGGATCCTTTTTCTTTGACATGATTATTTTGGTAACTTGTACTATGGTTTTATTTCACAGTTGTTTCTTTTATTTTTATTATTTTGTGTATATGGCCTGCAAGTATGTCTGAGTACCACATGCAAAGTAGTGTCCCCAGAAGCCAGAAAAGGCCACCAGATTCCCTGGAACTGGCTTTCAGGCCAGTTTTGAACTGACACATGGGTGCTGGTGATTGAATCCAGGTCCTCTGGAAGAGCGATCAGTGCTCTCTAAATAGCTGAACTGTTGCTCCAGCCCACCGTTGTTTCTAACATTTTGAATTTTCTTTCTTAAATTAGACCTTTAGACTTCAAGCTTTAGGTCCTCCATAGAGGACAATCTATAGCAAAAGGCTTCCTGTTTCAGCAAAAGGCTCCTCCTTGTCTGCTGACAGCGGTGTGTCCCCCTATTCCTCCCTAAGGCCCACTTACTACATTTCTAGCAGAACAGAATTTCTCAAGAAATGATTTGTAGAACACTTGCATCAAAAACTCCTGGACATATGCTAAAATACTTCAGCCCAGTCCACTGAATCAAGACCTTCTAGGGGGGAGTTCTGTGCCTAATATGTGTGTGTTTCTGAAGATACTCATTCCCTGTGGTTACCTGTGTGCTGCAGGCGGTGGTTAGGTGGTTAGTGTGGAGGACTGTGCCCTCTTGTTTACACCCCTCTGTGTTGTTTACTTACTTCTATGATGAGCAAGAGTCTCATTTGTAATTTAAATATGAAGAATTTAAATAGCACAAGTTTAAATTATATTTCAGTTTTATTTTATAATTTTATAAATTGAATTGTTATATAATTTAAATTTAAAGATGTTGTTTAAGAAAATATATGGGTGGCAGTTAAGTCCTTGAGCAGGTACTCACGATTATCAACCTCAGAGAAATGAGAAAGACTGACCATGTCAGTGGTGACCAGGAAGCAGAGCAGATGAGCTCACACTGCTAACGGGGTGTCAACCGGAAGACCACTTTACAAAGCGCTGGACGTTTCCGTGTAAGTTAAGGAACCCTACCATGTGACCCAAACCTTCCACTACCAAGTCCAACTCTGTAGTAACAGAGGAAAAAGTTAGGTACCAGGAAACAACCAGTTGTTCATCCAGTATATTGGTGATCATATTGTACAAACAGGCATATACCCGTAACAGGTATATCCATAGCAACGTGTGTATGTCCATAGCAGAATATTATGTACCTGTGAAGGGCGGTTTTCTGAGAGAAAGAGACAATCATAGAGAATACATAACATCTCATTCTCTTTGTATACAATTCGAAGGGAATTGCTATTCCTTTTCTGACCTCAGATTCGTCAGTGTTTTCCAAGAAGAACCAAAGATTTGTGTAAGGTCATATTAGTCTAACTCTGCAGGCAGCAGTATCATTGCAACTGAATCATGTGTTCATCTGTATCATTCATTCAGTTTATTATCAGAGCATGTATTATGTGCTAACTCTAGAGCAGACAATAAGAAAATGCTAGTGAAAAAATAAGACACGATCTCCTGACCTCGCGAAGTTTGTATTTTGTTGAATGAATCACCATATAAAAAACCAAATAATTTATTATTGAGGACAGGTGTGATTCTTCAGAAAGGGCCTTGGAGTCAAGAAGGAAGACTTGTCTAGGTTTTTTTTTAATATTTATTATTGTGCACGTGCACATTCACATGTATGTTTGTTTGTTTTGTGCATGTCTCTGTGTGTGTGTGCTGGGCATCCAACTCAGGGCCTTGTAGAGGCTAAGGACAAAACCTACCCCTGAGCATACAGCCATCCCTCACTCCCCGCTTAAGATTATATTAAAGATATGTCTATTTTTAAATTTTATTTATTTTTATTTGTATGGGTGTTTTTCCTGTATCGATGCAGGATCCTGTACACCACATGTGCGCTTTGTGCCTGAGGAGAGGGGGCATTTATCTCCTGGCATTAGAGTTACAGACAGTTGTGAGCTGCCCTGTGGGTTCTGGGAATTGAAACCAAGTACCCTGGAAGAGCAGCCAGTGCTCTTAGCCACTCATCTATCCCTCCAGCCCCTACTAAAGATGTTTCTCAAAGGTGAATCCTAGCCGTCATGTTTTAAAGACCGCGGCACGCTACTGCCAGGCATCCGGTCTGCCTTGCTCCTCCATGAGGAAGGTAGAATTTGAACTCAGACGGTCTCTGAGATACGAAACACTGGAGAAATTAGTGGATGTTGGTAAATAGGACAAAAATTAAAGTTTTTTTAAACCAGTTTTTTCTTTAAGAATTAAAAAATTGATTTCACAATCTCATATGTGCATACAGTGTATCTTGATCATATACCTAACTCCCTTTTCCTCTCTCTAGATTCCATACCCCTTTCCTACCTTGTCTCTCCATTTTTAATACTCCACGGAGTTCGGTTAGTTCTGCCTGTGTGTGTCTAGATATGCAGCCATACCCCCAGAAATAAAATACCCCTCCCCAGATCACAATCCTTTAGCCAAGGGTGGGGCCTCATGATCCCCCCCCCCCAAGCCATGCTGCAGTGTCGCCTGTCTTGCTCTTGGGCAGGTAACCCCCAGCTGTGAGTTTGTGAGTATCACTGAGGCACGCCATGTCCGGAAGACACCTTTCGCAGCATCTTCCCCTCCAGCTCTTAGACTCTTTCCATCCTTTCTTTTGCCACGTTCCCTGATCTCTGCAAAACGTAGGACTCCACAGTTGCTTGTCCTCAGCTGGCATTAACTTTGGCCCACTGTAAAAGGAAGCCTCTCTTGCTAAGGTTGAGAACAACACTAAGGTATGGGCATAAACATAAATATTGAGAAGGCAGTTTGACAACTTGTCTATTCAAGAAAACCAAAGTAGTAGGTTCCCCACTAGCACGTGTGCCAGGCATTGGTTCCTCCTGGACAGACCTCAAATGCAATCAAAAATCGGTTGGTTACTCACTCTAACAGCCATGCCATTATTGCACCAGGGGGTACAGCTTGCTTGGCAAGCTTTATCAGTTTCTTAGTGCGCATGACTGCCTTTCAGTGCATTTTCCCTCAGTTTCTACAATCACATCTTTTGTTTCTTCTTTTTAAGGTTGTCCTGAGAGAATCACAAGACCTCCCTGGGCCAGCTTGCTGGACTACATAGCCTACAGCATTCCTTTGATCTACTGATGCCACTGTCAGGAAGGGAATGAGGACAGTCTGGTATGACCTGTCTTCTATGGATTTTGTTTTGTTTTGTTTTTAAAACCCTTTTATTAGTCTGTGCTGACTCCCAGTGACCTATTTCCTTCCAAGGGCTAAAAAATCATTTGTTTTAATCAAGTGGCAGAAATCCAATCCAGAGTGCTGTAAGCCAAAGTGGAGGAAGAGAAGAGAAATATATTAGCTCTTGTGAAAATAAAACCCCAAAAGAATCAATCTCCATTATGACTGGGTTGAGTTGCAGCCTCAGCACTCAGTCTCTGTCAGTCTCTCGGTTCTATTTTTGGGGCAGTAGCTGCAATTTCAGGTTACATAGTTCTTATTACCAGTGATGATGATAATGATAATTATCATTTTAGCAGTTCTGAATCCATTTACCTGAATTTGATTGGTTGGACCTAGATCAGTCAGCAAGTATCCACAGGTAACTTTTCATCCTCCTGGCCAATGATAATAACTGGCTTTCTAGCTTAATAAAAAATAGCAAATAAACAGGGAGATCTTATTGTGTTCCAGGCACTGTGTTAGACATCTGCTAAGGAAATCGTCTAAGAACCCAATAAGGGTGGTTAGATAAGCATGCTGGGAAAGGCAGCAAATTGATCACAGAATCAAAATTTCTAAGCAGTTGCTGGGCGTGACGGAACATTGCCTGTAACCCTGATGTTTGGGAAGTGGAAACAGAAGGATCAAGAAGAGTGGCTATGTGAGAACTCAAGCCAGTTTGGGTCACATGAGACCCTGTCTCAAATAGTCTAAAAACAAAACAGAAAACAAAAAACAATTTGAAATTAGGTTTTCTTGGCTCCAGGCCTGGGCTCTGAACCGCCACAGTCCCCTTTCACACAGTCACTTTTAGGACCAAGAAGACAGAGCAGGAGCCAGCAAGTCAAATGCCTGTTTGGAAGTATCGATATTTTCCCCTTTTAGTGAAAATAGATTTTATTTTCTCTCACATAATGTATCTTGATTACAATCCCCCCCCCCATCTACTCCTCCTAGTTCCTCTCCACCTCCCCTCCCATCCGGATCCACCCCCTTCCTGTCTCTCTTTAGAAAACAAACAAGCTTCTAAGGAATAGTAATGAAATATACTGCAATAAAATAAAATCTAATAATAAGAAAAAAACACTACCAATACATTGGAATAGGTAAAACAAAAAAGCAGAAGGAAGAGAGCTCATGCACACACTCAGGAGTCCCATAAAAACATTAAACTGGAAGCCATAATATGATACACAAAGGACCTGTAAGAAGAGAGAAGAAAATAATTTGTAAATAAAATAGAACTAAAATAAAAATTAAATAAAATTTAAAAAAAAGAAAGCCTTGGCATTATGAGACAAGGAACCTCCAAAGATGCCTTCGGTTTCTCTGTTGGCCGTCTACTGCTGGGCACAGAGCATGAGTCTTAAGACTCCACTTAGCAGTGGGACTTGAGAGATGGCAGGTAAAGGCCCTGGCTTCGCAAGCCCGGTGGCCTTGGTTTGATCCCCAGAACCCACTCAGGAAGCTGGAACAGCACTCATTGGAAATATCGGCACTTCTGTGGTAGATGGAAGGAAGGTGGAGATGGGACTCTCTGGAAGGTCAAAGCTCAGCTAGCCTGGTGTACGAGGCCTAGCATCAAACAACAAAGACCCTGTCTCATACGAAGTGAACAGCAGGTCCTCTGCCCTCTCTACCTGAGTGTGCCTGTATACAAACCCAGAAAAACAGACAGGCAGACACATTACCCACATGGATACACTTAGTAGTCATAATAGGGGCAGAGCTTAGGTGATTAGTATAATTTTTCCAGTCTCAGACCCTTCTGAGTTTGAGAGCTGGAAGCTCCGTGTATAGGACTGTGCCTCCTGAATGCTGTAGGGATCTTATCAACCAGGCCTTTTAGTCAGGGTCCCCCCAGGGTCCTTTCTATAGTGTGCTCTCCCTTTATTCCTCAGCAGGGTCTTTGACTATCATGACTCCTGACCTTCACCTTGAACAACCTTCCATGAACCATCCCAAAATCTCAGACTGTAGGTCTCGTGCTTTTTCTTTTTTCTTGGAAACTGAACTCGGGTCATTAGGCTTGGTGGCAAGTACCTTTAACCAATGAACCACCTTGCCCTTCTCCCTCTGCTTGTCTAATGGCTATATCTTGTTTGAACACTGTGAAATACTCAAGTCAGGAAATGGGCATTTGCGTAATACATGTATGTGAAACCTTGTTACCTTATTTTCTGTAAGTCCTGCTCCCTCTGCATCTGGCTGGCAGCTCCCTTGTCTCCTGGTGACTCCGCCCCCTTTCTTCCCAGTCTCTCATATATATTCACGGTGTACGAAAGTATTTCACGGTAGTGATAAATCAATGTCTTTTTGTTTTGTTTTGGTTTTGGTTTTTGGTTTTTCAAGACAGTGTTTCTCTGTGTGACAGCCTTGGCTGTCCTGGAATTTACTCTGTAGTCCAGGCTTGTGGCGATGGGGTCTGCATCACCACCCAACCCGTATGGACCGCGACTTCATACCTTCCATGAGCTCTATAATGTCCTAGGGGTTAAAACACAAGACGCACACACACATACAGAGTTCGAGTCATTCTCAAGAGGAGGAGAATGCCCGTTTATTTAACTTAATCCAGGGTTAAATACTTTTGCCCCAGAAGTGGAGAGCCCCCTCCCAGATAGGAGTGAGATCAAGGTGTTGAGTGCCTGGCACCAAGTGGCAGGAGCTTCCAGGCAGGGGGTACCAAGCTGGGAACCCTGACAGATAGGAGGAGATTCAGGGCGCCTGTGGGAACCCTCCTTAGCAGGTGAAATTACCAAATCAAGATGGAAACAAGGTTTTGAACTAATCCCCTCCGGCTGGCAGAATAGGGCAGAGGAAGCTAGGCTGGTTAGCGTAAACAGTTTTTGCATCCTGTGCTTGGCCTCGAGGAACAGGGAAGACAGGGCATTACATAGGCTGACCTTGAACTCACAGAGATCTACCTGCCTCTGCCTCCTGAGTGCTGGGATTAAAGGTGTGCACCACCACCACACGGTTTGCTGTCTCATCTTAAAAGAAACGGAGAAGTTATTTTTCAGGGTATTGTACCCAGGAGGAGTTGGAGCCATGAGGAAAAGGCAGATGAAGGGTAATTGTCGTGGAATGTTCTAGATCTTGGCTCTATCAATGTCAGCAGACCAGTAGTTGTATTGTATGTAGTTTTGCAACTGATCATGTGAGACACTGCATAAAGGGCCCATGTAACTTCTCTTTGTTTCTTTTTATAATTTAAAAATTACATTTATTTATTATGTGCATGTGGAGGTCAGAGGTTATCTTGTAAGAGTTGGTTCCCTTCTTTCATGATGTGTGTCCTGGGACTAGAACTTTCATCTTCAGACTTGGCAACGAGAGCCTTTACCACTGAGCCACCTCACTGGCCTCTGTTTCTTATTGCTATGTATGAATTTGAGCTACATATCCAGCTCATAAGTTGTTTATTATTATTAATTTACAGAAAAATTGAAAAAAAATCTCATTTATTCCAGTTAACTTTCAGTTTGCAGCAAGCTTATAAAAAACTTGTAACTTGGGCTGACAAGTTGGCTCAGTGGGTAAAAGGCATTTGTCCCCAGACCTTACAACTTCCATGCTTTCCCTTAGAAGGTTTGCTATTTGAGTCTTCTGAAATAAACTGCCAATAGATCAATAGGAGACGATCACCACAGGTGTATTTGGTCATAGTTTTAGTCTGACATGGAGGCTCCAGACTGGGAAGCTATCTGACTTTGATCCGCATGTCGAGATATGACCGGAAAGAACGAGACGTGAGGCAGTGAGAACACACCGAAGGGAGACCCCAGGAGGCCTGTTTGGGGACTGGCACTTTGTACACGATATTTCTTCCTCCAGAGATGGGACAAGATTCTTTTGTCTTTTCTGCACAAAAATTGCTATAAATTTTTTTTGGTTTTATTGGTTTCTTAGTTTTCAATGAATTGTCTGTGTAAATGCCCCCCAATTAAAGACCATGTTCTATAATAATTTAATAACTCTGTTCTCAAGATATTTTCGAACTTTCTCTAGCCCTGACTGTCTTCCATTTGTGTAGAGCCAGCTGTCAATTCTAGTACTCCCTCCCCTTCCCTGAGGGTTCCTCCGAGTCCTCTCCAGCCTGTCTATCAGTATTCTTTATCTTTCTCATTCTTGACTTATTTCTTTGGTGGGTGAATGTTTCCCCCTGACTCATCATTTCACAGAGGACCTTGTTTTCTGGTACGTTCCCAACTGGTTGAGATTGGCTTCTGATCATTTCCTTGTCCCCCTGCACTGTGGGCCACAATGGCACCAGCTCCCTCTCACCCCTGCTCTGATTTCGTTCCCTGGAGATTTTGCTCATGCTTTTGTAAGCCCAGCCCTGCAGTTAAAGTTACATCCGTTTTGGCATCTCTAAGTGTTTGGTAGTAGAAAGATTTTTCAGGTCATCTTGTTCATATGACTGCCCTATCTATATAGTTTTAAAATCTAGGGGTTTCAGAGACTCAACGGGGAGGATCAGGAATGTGCTTAGAAAGGAGGAATCCTGGTGACTGGAAGCTGGGAGGGGCACAGCAGGTGCAGAAGCACAGGGGTGTAGAGACACCCCCCCTTCTTTTTGGCTGGAGCCGGGAGGATGAGGTTGAGCAGGAGGGAGCTATGAATGCTGTGGGTATCAGGGAATGAACCAGGATCACAGCTTCCTTCAGGGACTCTAACCCGGAAGCACATCCTGGACAAATGTGAACAGGTGGCAGCACTGGAGAGAGGTCTTGGTTCAGAAAGATGGTCCTAGAACTTTTGGAAATCACCTGGCAAAGCTGAGCATGATGGCACATGCTTTTCATCTTAGCACTCGGGAGGCAGAGGCAGGCAAATCTCTTGAGTTTGAGGATGTCCTGATCTTCATAGTGTGTTCTAGGACAACCAGAACTATACAGAGAGACCCTGTCTTGAAAAACCAGAAGGGGCTGGAGAGAAGGCTCAGTGATTAAGAGCACTGGCGGATCTTCCAGAGGTCCTGAGTTCAATTCCCAGCAGCCACATGGTGGCTCATGGCCATCTGTAGTGAGATCTGGTGCCCTCTTCTGGCCTGCAGGCATACAAGGAGGCTGAACGTACACAATAAATAAATAAATCTTTAAAAATAAAAAGAAAAGAAAAACCAGAAAAAGAAAGAAAATCACCTGGCCATGAGCTCTGTGTTATAACCAAGATGGAAGCCAGGAACTATGAGGCGAAATGGGGAGAGGACTTAGCTGATCCAAAAAGAATCTAGATCAACAGCTACGCCACTCCTGGGCATTCACCAATAATACTCCTAATCCAAACTGCCCAGAGATACGCGCACATCAGTGTTGACTCCAGCGCTTTTCACGGTAGCTAAGTTGGAAACAAGCTACATGGTCACCAACCAAAGGATGGCATGGCTTAGATATAGGAGGCTTTCTTTTTAGCCCTAAAGAAGAATGGAATTGTGTCACCTGTAAGAAAATGGATGCACCTGGGGCTATCACGTTCTGTGGGTCTCAGAAAGACAGGTATCACAGGCACCCGCTCACTCGCGGGTCTTCGGTTCCATATAGGTACAAAGGGGAGGTCGTGAAAGGGAAGGGTTGAATGAGGAGGAAGTGTGATCAGAATGCATGTGTCGATCTACATGGGCTTGGTCTTATGAACCCAGCATAATACATGTAGTATGTGCCTCCCGAGTGCTGGCATTAAGGGTGCACCCCACTGCCCCGCCCATAATATAGTTTCAAAATGAATGAATGAGTAAATTATTCTGGGTCAAACTGGGTGGGGGAATAAAGGAAATTTCATGAGGCCTGGGACATGAATTTCAAATGTCAGTGATGACCCGGGCGGTTTGTCCTCTCGTATTTAGAGACACTGACCACAAATGCCACCAGTTCATTGACTGTTTAGTAAACAGTTGGCTCTGTTTGCTGCTAATGATGTTCCAGGCGACTTGATGAGCAGTCTTCAAGCTAGGGAGCATTTCCCTGAGCATTTCCCAGGCGACGTAATGAGGACACCTACCTTACAAATGGATGTTTTGCTTTGTTTTTCCCAGAACCTGTGGGCATGGCTGACGCTGGAGCAGATGAGCTCTCCTCCAGGTCAGAGAGTCCTGAGCTGGAGGGCAGGAGCTCGGAGGACCGATCACTGCTCCATCAGAGGCTGGCCATCAGAGAGCTCATTGACACAGAGGTCTCCTACTTGCACACGCTCCGACTCTGTGCCTCTGACATCAGGAGCCGTCTGCACCAGGTACTGATGCAGACCCAACCACTTATCTTTCTAGGAGCAGGGGCGGGCTGCCTCTAAGATCGCTCCTTACTCCTGGGCTGGCTTGTTGGAAAGGACCCTTGGTGGGCGGGAGACTAACAAGCCCAGATACAAGTCTCAGGGCTTTATTGGCCACACAACCTTCAGCAAGACCTTGAATGACTCAGACGTGTCCAACTTGTAGCCTATTGGCCATTTGAGGCCAAGGATAGCTGTGAACCTAGCCCAACATAAAATAGTAAAATTACTTAAAACGGTATAAAAAATCATTGTATTCTTTTGTAATTCAATTTTGTAGGATTTTTTTTTTTAGGATTTATTTTTATGTGTATGAGTGTTTGCTATGTTCATGTATTCCCTGTGTGTGCCTGGTACCTGAGGAAGCCAGAAAGGATGTGGGATCCCCAGAAGCCAGAGTTACAGACAGTTGGGAGCCACCATGTGGGCGCTAGGAACCTGCATCCTCTTCAAGAACAGACAGTGCAGAATTAAATGAGCTATTGGATAGGCAAAAAGGAGCAGAAACCAGGCCATAAAACCTTCAAGTCCACCTCCAATAACCTTTCTTCCAGTAAGGTAAACCTCCTAAAGGTAATATAGCCTTTTCAAATAATGCCTCCAGCAGGGGAAGAAGTGTTTAAACTCATCAGCCCGGAATATTCCATATTCAAATCACAACACTGACCTCTGCCTACCTGCACCCCCCTCGCCCACTCTATTACCGGCACCCTCAGCTTCCCTTCTGAGCTGGACGTGATGTCTCCTTTTATTGTAGACTAATGAGGAGGCCTAACTTACAAGAGTCCCAAATCTTTCCAAACCTTGCACTGGGCAGTCAGTCTTCCCAAGAGCAGTAGGACCTCAGGTGACGCAAGTGCTCAGGACTGTTCCCCACCCAGTCTTTGCCCACAGCAATTTCGTTGCTTCCAGCTGCCACCTGGAGATCTGGAAGTCCTGTTCTCGAACATTGATGACATCATCCAAGTGAGCAGCAGATTCCTTCAAGGGCTGCAGGAGACAGCCTGCAGGGAAGAGGAACAGGCGAACCTGATTGGTAAGCAGAAGACCTGGTGTTCACTGCCTTGCTTTCCCTGGGCTCTGTCCTCAGCTTGTGCTTCCGCCAGAACTGGCTCCAGAGCCTCAGGGAAAAGCAGCGAAGGGGGAGTCAGGGCAAGTCAGGCAGCAGGGCCCTGTAGAGTGTCTGATCCTCGAGGTCCATTTACCTCTTCCTCAAGGTTAAGCTTTTAGCACACGAATTTGGGAAGATGTGTTGAAACCACAGTGCTTCCCAGTTTAGTCTCAACATGGTACTGATTTATTTATTTATTTATCTTTTTATCTATTTATTTAATTTTGGTTTTTCGAGATAGGGCTTCACTGTGAAACAGTCCTGGAACTTGGTTTGTAGAACACCAGGCTGGCTTTGAACTCACAGAGATCCACCTGCCTCTGCCTCCTGAGTACTGGGATTAAAGGAGTGTGCCACCTATCACCCGACTTAATTTTTATATGTATGAATATTTTGCCTGCATGCATATCTGTGCGCCACTGTGTGCCCGGTGCCTGCAGGGAGCCAGAAGGCATCGAACCTCCTGGAACTGGATTTACAGAGGGTTGTGAACCCCCACGTGGGTGCCGAGAATTTAATCCAGTTATCTGGAAGAGTAGTAAGTGCTCTTGATTGCTGAACCATCTCTCCAACCCCTGGTTTTTCTTAATTAATAGGTTTTATTTTTTAGAGCACTGTTAGGCTTATAGAAAAGACAACCACGGTCCAGGAATCAGAATTATCTCAAACATTATTACTTTCTTATAATTTATTTATTTTTATTTCATGTACATTTGTGTTTTTCCTGCCTGTATGTCTTTGTAAAGGTGTTGGGTCCCTGAAACTGGAGTTAGAAACAGGTGTGAGCTGCCATGTGGGTACTAGGAATTGAACTTGGGTCCTCTGGAAAAGCAACCATCGTTCCTAACCACTGAGCCAACTCTCCAGCCCTCCTCTAACCTTAATTTTGATAAAGTCATCTTCTCTGTCTCTTACCCCTAGGGTACCACTCCTCTTCCTTTATTCTTCCCACCAGTTCCACCTGTTCCCTATATGTAACTGGTTTCATATTGAAAGACACGAAACATTTCAGTCTATCACCCTGGGTCTGTTTCGTCTTCTCTCTGCCAGTCCGGCTTTACTGCAGCCGCTATTGAATGAAACTTAGGTGAGACCCCATTTCTAACCACTCCCATGACTTCCTGTCACCACTGGAATACAAAACCGAGCGCCTGCCACCCCACTTACTCTGATGCCCCATGCGGCTTGGCTTCAGTGTCTTGTCTGTTTCCTCCCTTTTGTGCCTGGCCCGCTCTACTCCAGACATACCAGGGTCCATGGCTGTCCTCGGGCCAGGGTCACCCTTGTCATTGCCATCCACAAGCTTGGGAGTTGCCCCTCCACTGGTTTCTGGGGCTGGCTACTTCTGATCTCTGGCAGATGGTCACATTATCTGTGCAAGCCTTCCTCAAGGAGACACCCTCCTCCACCACTGCCACCACCCGGTCTTTGATGTTTATTCGCCTTTACTTTGACCCCTGGAATATGTAATCATCCTGTGGTTTCTGTAAGCGATGGTTTTCCATGACACCCCGCCCCCTCAAGTAAGTCCCTTGTACGAAATGACATAGTGTTAACGTAAACCTTCTGAAGTTCTTTATACTTGAAATCGTCTCTAGACCAGTCACGACATTTAGCACCGTGTAGGTGACATACAGAAGGTTGTTATACCGTATTGTTCAGGGAATGATGACGTCAAGAAAAAAGGTCCTCACGTGTTCAACACAGATACTCTTTTCCTTTAAAGAAATGTTTGATGCAATTTACCTGTAGGACAGGAGAATTTTTTTTTAAATGATGAAGATAGCTTTTTAACTGGAAAGGGCATGGGAAATATTCCATTAATATGTGAGTCTGTTCAACCTGCCAATCATCAGGAAATGAATATTGAAGCTGCAACAGGCCAAAGCGATTGTTAAGATGCCTCAACATTCAGGAGGCTGAGGCAAACGGGTCTAAGGTTGGCAGAAGTATTCAGGGTCATTTAAAAAAATTTTGGAAGTTCTGTCCTAATTCAAAGCCAAGATTTTAAATGAAACCCAGTTTTTAAAAATGAAACTCAAGTCAAGCAGCAAATTCTATTCACTTATTTTGTTTTTAATCTATGTGTGTGTTTGTCTCTCTGTGTGTGTGTATGTGTGTCTGTGTGTGTGTGTGTGTGTGTGTGTATGTCACATGCGCTCAGGTACCCCCAGAGGCCAGGAGAGGGCACTGGAGTCTCTGAAGCTGGGGTTGCAGGTGGTTGTGAGTCATTCAGTATGGGTGCTGAGAACCAAGCTCAGGCCCTCTGAGTAATGACAAGCGCTATAAATCACTAGGCCATTTCTCTAGCCCTCTCAAGCAGAAAAGTCAGGTATTCTAACCCAAAGCAATCCAAAGACACAGTAATTTGATACACAGGGAGGGACAGTGGAAAAATAGCCCAAGTTTTTGTTTTCCAGAACTAAATTCTGTCTCTAAGAGCAGAAGGCTTTATTTATACGGTGAGGACACCGCAGCGCCCGTGGCACATTTGTCTCTAATCTGAGGGCAGGCAGTGTTCACTGGAGTCGTGTGGCACGGCTATTTCAGCAGGGCCAAGTAGGAATTTTGTGTGTTCAAAACCAAGGCCACAGTGACTTTTCATGATGCAACACAGGTGGGTGTGTCCGGAAACACCTCAGATTCATTACGGTTTTGCTTTAGAATTTAATCTCAGTTTGCCCTATGTTTGGTAACTTTTCACTCTTCCCAAACATTTCCAGACCTCACTTTCAGGTCTGCAGGAAGCCCCATCTGGGATCATGACCTACTGTTTAAGAACCTGGACTCAGACTGGAGGTGGTGGTGGCCTACACCTGTAATCCCAGCACTAAAGCAGAGGCAGAGGGATCTCTGAGTTTGAGACCGGCCTGGTCTACAGAGTGAGTTCCTGGATAGTCAGAGCTGTTCCCTGTCTCTAAAAACAAAAACAAAAGAAGAACCTGGACTGTTACTCATCCACTTAGCAACTTTATGAAACATGAGAAATAGCAACAGGAAGTCTAGCTGGCTTGTACTAGTGACATGCTGGTAGCCTCCCCACCCAGCAGGCCCTGCCTCCCCACTCCAACTCAGGGACTTGCACACTTGCTCCTGGTAACTTGCTGCTTGTTTGCCATCAGGTAACTTATTCCTAGAATTCCAAGAGGAGTTTGAACATGTCTATAAAGTCTACTGTGCCAACTACGACCAAGCCCTGCTGCTGGTCAAGGCGTACCGGAAGGAGCCAGAGCTGCAGAAGGCGATCCAGGGCATCATTGAAGCAGCAGTGTGAGTTAACATGTCCAGGGACAGTTCAAATCTTGATTCTGTTTGGGTCTGCTTCGGGCCTGTGCCAGCAGCCAGGCCTCTATCAGTGCTCACACAGTCTCAAACACAGTTCCATGTCTCCCGTGTCCCTGTGTGTTTCCTGTCAGTTTGGATAGTGCTGTTTTAAATGTACAAGTAGTTATCAATATATGATCTTATTCTCTGTCCTTTCTTCTCCTTTTTTGGGGGAGGGGCAAGGGCTATCCAGAGCTACTTTGTCTTAATAACAACAAAAAACAAAACAAAACAGATTTCTAACTGCTTATTTGATTGATTATTGGTCTTTCAAGACAGAATTTCTTTCTCAGTGTAGCTCTGACTGTGCTGGAACTTGCTCCATAGACCAGGTTGGCCCCGAACTCAGAGATTCTCCTGTCTCTGCCTCCTGAGTGCTGGGATCAAAGATGCACATCACCATGACCGGTTAAACTTCTAAACAGAGGCCAACACATCTGTCTCCTGGAGATTGACCCTCAGCATGCTCTTCCCCCAGGTGGTCGTGCCAATGTGTTTGACCCATGTTTGAGGGTAGACAATATTATAAGTGGGGCAATAGAATTCTTTTCAGGATCCGCAGTCATCTTACTGTGCCACAAGGTACACTTTTCAGAAGCGGAATGGATAGACAGAGGAGATATGTATGGAGAATTTCGATAGTTAAAACCACCCTTGTAAAGGCAGGTTCATTTAGATTTCTGTCAGCAGCAGGTACCTGTCTCCCACAGCCTTGCCAGAGCAGCGTGCCCCCAAACCTTAGGATGCTTGTGTTGGGTTAGGTCAGGATGAGGTCTTCAGCTTTTCTTTTCCTTTTATCTTATGGTAAGTTGGCCATTTCTTTGGACATTTAAGAGTCCTTCATGGATATTTTCTTGTGATTCTGTTTCCTTTTCTATATTAAGAATTTGTATGTGTGTGAAAAATGGATTTCTCATGCCTTTAATCCCAGTTCTCGGGAGGCAGAGGCAGGTAAATCTCCGAGCTGGAGGCCAACATGGTCTACAGGGTGAGTTCCAAGACAGGCAGGGCTACCCAGAGCTACTTTGTCTTAATAACAACAAAAACTAAAACAAAACAGATTTCTAACTGCTTATTTGATTTATTATTGGTTCTCATCTTTTTTCCTTTTATCACAAATTTACTAGTCCTTTTTAAAAAAATTTACATTTTTTTGAGAATTTCATGCATGAATGCTGTATTTGTATCATTTTACCCCATCTTAACCTGCCTTCAGCTCCTGTTGGGTCTCATTCAACTCCCTCTCAAACTCATGACCTCTTCTTTAATTATTATTGTTACACACACATATATGCACACACATATTACATATACGTTACATATATGTAACAATAACATATATGCACATATGTATATCCTACTGAATATATTTAGTGTTGCTCATATGTATATGAGCTGAAATCATATGTATAAACAAAAGCTGACCTCTTGGGATTGGATAACCTATCAGGCAGCCCATACCTGGATAAGTTTGATTTTCCCTCTCTTGGAAGCCATTGGTTAACTCTAGCTCCTCTCGATCAATGCTTTTTTTTTTTTTTTGGTTAAAGAAGCCAAGGCAGAAGGGTTGCTACAAGTTCAGGGTGGCCCCTGGGCTACATAGCAAGACTATATCTCATAAATCCAAAACTTGGCTGGGTATGTTGGTGCATACTTTAATCCCAGAATTTAAGATGCAGAGTCAGGAGGATCTCTGTGAGTTTGAGACCAGCCTGGTCTACATAGAGTTTCAGGCCAGCCATGGTTATGTGAGTAAGACCCTTTTAAAAAAATTATTTATTTAAAGATTTATTTATAATGTATACAGTGTTCTGCTTGTATGTCTGTCTGCAGGCCAGAAGATGGCACAAGATCTCGTTACAGATGGCTGTGAGCCACCATGTGATTGCTAGGAATTGAACTTAGGACCTCTGGAGAAGCAGCCAGTGCTCTTAACTGCTGAGCCATCTCTCTAGCCCCAAGACCCTTTTTATAAACAAAACAAAATACTAAAAAGGCAGCAACAATGAAACCCCAGAAACAACCACAAACCCCCAAACAAAATTTAAAAAGTTTGCCCAATGAAAACTGACAGTCAGTTTTTAGAAACCAGTGTGGTAGGAGAACAGAGGAGTCATCTTTACCTCGCTCAGGCGCTCCTTATGCTCAAGAGAAAGAGTGCTGAAGAGGTGTGTGCAGTGACATCATTTCCTGCGAAATGACTGCCAGCCTGTCTGACCTGCCTTGTCTTTCTCTCACTTTTCAACCCCCCCTCCTTCAAAGTCTTTTTCAAGCACCAGGTTCTAGGTCCTAGATCCAAAAAAGGGAAAAAATATTTTCTTCTCATAGGTCTGGAAAATGTAGGCTTTTGCAGGGCCATTAGATGTGTTTCTATAGGACAGAGGCAGATTACAGAAGTCAGGGAAGCTGGAACCCAGTGAGGGACGAAAGGGAGAAGTGGAGACTGTGGGAAAAGGGAAGTGACAGACCCTGTATCAAACATGGCATGGCCTTAGGAGATTGTCGCTGTCAGTAGGTGTTAGATAACCACCCCAAATGATACCTTAAAACAACATTTACCAGGCTGTTAAGGTGCCCCAGCGAGTAAAGGCAGGCTGTGGTTTGAAAGAAAATGACCCTTATTAGGTAGGTGTGGTCTTATTGCAGGAAGTGTGGCACTGTAGAGACGGGCTTTGAGGTCTCATATATGCTCAAGATACCGCCCAGTGTCTCAGACAACCATTTCCAGTTGCCTGCAAGATGTAGGACTCTCGGCTACTACTCCAGCACCAGTCTGCATGCACGCACCATACACCCCACCATGATGATAACGGACTGAACCTCTGAAACTGTAAGCAAGCCACCCCAATTGAATGTTTTTCCTTTATAAGAGTTCCATGGTCAGGGCGTCTCTCCACAGCAATAGAAATCCTAACTAAGACAAGGTACTCACCTGTTGCCAATCCTGACTGCCTGCGTTCACTTGCTGGAATATAGTAGAAGGAGGCAATAAACTGTAAGCAAGCCCCCCAATTGAATGTTTTTCATTTATTATAAGAGTTGCTGTGGTCAGAGTGTCTCTCCACAGCAACAGAAATCCTAACTAAGATAAGGCACTCCCCTGCCGCCAGACCTGACTGCCTGAGTTCACTTTCCGGAATATAGTAGGAGGAGGCTATGGAGTCCCACCAGTTGTCCCCTGACCACACACATGCGCCGTGGCTCACCTGTGCCCAAATATATACACTCACAAACAAGTGCAAAATACTAAATATAAGACTTTTACTTAGCGTACATGTCTGCATATTATCAGTTGAGATGGGCTCAGCAAATGAGCCTTCTGCTCCCGGCTGAGCATTTTCCTGTGTCCACCCTGTCAACTGCAGGTCAGCTTCGCTGATCTGGCTGGACTCCTTCAAGTACCGGAGACAAAGAGCGAGCTCAGGTCTGGTCACGTGTGCTTCTTGCAGCTGTGTTGTTCACTTGATCGGGCCCTAGTGCAAGGAGAAGGGCAAACCATTGGAATTCTGGCCATTTGGATCAGTTTTAGAGCCAGTCCAGAAAGGACTAGGGAGATGGATGGCATCGGTTGAAGAGGCTTTCAAAGTCACAAGAAATGCAACAGAAGCCCTTTTCCTGCGCTAACCATCTGCATATGTTGCATATAGAAACGGGAGTCTCCTCTAACCAGAGCTGCTCATTTTTCCAAAGCAGCAGAAATTCGGTGGGACACCTCCCATGTGTCGCATTCTCTCCAGCCATGCTAGAAGCAATAACTAGTTGACAATGAGGCTGCTGTGTGTCCTGTGTCTGCAGGTCTGGAGCCAGGCTTGCACGGTGGCAGGTCTGGCTCAGCCCCTTCTTGTGAGAGCGATTTCACATCTCAAACCCAATTTCCTTATGGCTCCGACGGGAGTCCTAACGGCACTTGGTGGAGCATAGACACATGGCACAAGGGACACTAAATATGTCCCAGCTAGTCTAGTCAGCCAGGCGGGAACTGTGTCACGCTGCAGTTTTTAGTCTTGTCAGTCCCAAGGCCTCCTTTTATAACAAATATTAAATATATTTACCATCCTGCAATAAATCCTGGAAATAGACCCTACCTCTAGATATGAACTGGGAAAAGTTAATATACCAACAATATGAAGGAGGAAGAAAAGGAAGGCATTTTCTAGTAATGTGGGTTCCAGTGTGCACTCAGGCACAACAGTCCTAGAAGCTATGAGGAAGCACTCTAAAATTAGCTCGCCTCTCTGGTTAGTAAGTTAGTTTGGAGGTCAGAAAAGAAAGTCCTGAGGCTGTTCTGCTTCTGAAGTACAAGAAAGCGAGGGAGCAGAGGGTGTGCATACCCAAGGGCAGCAACCCACAGGGCTGGCAGTCCTGACTTCCTCGTGTGTGTGGCACTAAAGAGAATATAGTAGCTTATGGCCTGGGAGGTAGGAAAATGAGAACAGGTAATATCCTTGCAAATAGCCTGCGTCTTATCTCTAAAAGATAGTGTATAAAAAAAAAAAATCTAGTATTGTGTCATGTGACTGAACAGAGTCTGAGAGTCACACAAGCATTTCGGTTCTTGAACACACAGTACATTTTGAGACCCCTTTAAGGCTCTGAGTGTCCAGAGGGACGTGCGAGACCCCAACTATTCTCCGTAGCACATGTCTATGTTTAGGGCTTTGCTCTCCCCAATTAGTTCTTTCTTTGCTTCCAACTTGTGGATCAAGACGTGAGCTCTCGGGCTGTTCCTGCTGCTGTGCCATTGTTCCACTATCATGGGTTTGAACACGCTGTACTTGTGAGCCCTCAATTAATTTGTTGTTCAATAAATTGCCTTGGTTGCGGTGTTTAATCACAGTAGTAGAAAAGTAAGACAGTGCCTTGAGATTCCCTGTGATTCCTGAATGTGTTCTGACGATTTCACCTTCGTGTGGGCTAGCAGTCGGGGTAGCCTGCCCTTTAAGACAGAAACACAGACCAGGCAGGGAGCTCTACTGAGGAAGATCTTTCGCAGGGTGGTGTGGGAAAGGAGGCTGAGCAGAGGTGGAGCAGCCCTGGAAGTCAAAGTTTTAAAAGGCTGCCTGGCATAGCAGTGTTTGCAGAAGGAAAACAACCTCTGGCTTCCTGTATCGCTAGTTGTATTTATTTTGAATATAAAAGTAATATTTAAATCATACCCAAATATTTGAGGTCCATTCTTCATTGGCTGAGGGATTACAATCCTCTGTTCAGTTTTCTGTATAGTTACAGACAGATGGATAGAGAAGCAGGTAGGGGGTGTCGTTCTTAAAGAGACGCCTATGCTATTCTAGAACTTTAATTGTAGCTGTAAATATTGTCTCATACTATACTCACCCATTCTTTTATTGATGGATTTTTCTTCTCAACCACGGAGTTACTGAACAACTTACCTCTATCCTTGTTTGCCTGAGCCAAGATTTCTATAGGTAGACATTGTCTAGGCTGGGGTTGGTGGAGCAGAGGATTTGTGTGTTTCAAAACTGTCTAACTGCTCAAGATCTCATCCAGGGACACTCCTATGAGAGTGTAAGAAGCCCTCCCCTGTCACCCTCCCCAAGGCTTCTAGGCTATCGCTCTGCTCTTACTGTCTATATGAGAAGCTGTGTGTTTTCCCCCAAGTCACTTTAAGAAGGATACAGAGTCGGATGGGGGTGGCCCACGCCTTTAAACCCAGGAATCAGGGAGGCAGAGGCAGATGGGTCTCTGTGAGTTTGAGGCCAACCTGGTACACAGAGTGAGTTCCAGGACAGCCAGAGATACACAGAGAAACCTTGTTTCGAAAAACAAAACCAGTGTGTGTGTGTGTGTGTGGGGGGGCTACTGATGTCAGCAACTTTCATCATTTTGCCCTGGCTCCTTAAAGACTTTTAAAAAAAAGGGTGCAGTTATCTCTTTAAGAACCCCTTGGCCTCTGGTTTGTACTGTGGTGACAGCTGTCCCTGGGAGGCAGCTGGCTCTTTCCCGTGGAATGTCAACCTATAATGGAGTTTCCAGAATGCCTGCCCACAATTATCTGAGCTCAGGACACCCCTGGAGAGAGCAGATGGACAGGGCAAGCATAGTCCACCCGCTGCCATCCTGGGCTCCCACCTGCCATGTCTATTCTTAGCCTCTGAGCAGTTTCTTTGCAGAACATTTGGTCTGGAGGTTTTCCCTTAGGAAGGAGTTGAGGGCTCCATTATAGGGTGCTGATGGCTGGCCCCTGACATTTGTGAGTCTTGTAGGGGGCACACTGAGACAATTAGGGGCTGGAATTCTTTTTTTTTTCTGAGACAGGGTTTCTCTGTATCTTTTGGAGCCTGTCCTGGAACTAGCTCTTGTAAGCCAGGTTGGCCTTGAACTCACAGAGATCTGCCTGCCTCTGCCTCCTGAGTGCTGGGATTAAAGACGTGCACCACCACCTCGCGGCTAGGGGCTGGAATTCTTTTACACCTGCTGGAGCCACTCCCAAGTTGCCCTTGATCTAGGCAATCCTGATGAAACCCCAGACACCCAGCAGTAGGAGTCTGATAGTCACTTGAGCATCAAAGCCATTCCTCACAGTGCTTTTTAAAAACCGTTTTTTTTTTAAAAAATAAAAATTCCAAACTGCAGAAAATGAAGATGACATGATAGATATTCTCACACCTACCACCTTAAATGAGAAAGAGTTAACATATAAATATCCCATCTAGCTTTATGTTGAACTATTTAAAGGAAGTTGTGAGTTTTCCCCATATAGTCTAAAAATTGTGTTCCCATGGTTTTTCAAAAACATTTTCTAGATTAAAAATTTCACACTATTTATTTATGTTTAGTGTGAGAGCATCTCTCTCCTCTTCTCTCCCTCTCTCTTTCTCCTCTCTCTCTCTCTCTCTCTCTCTCTCTCTCTCTCTCTGTGTGTGTGTGTGTGTGTGTGTGTGTGTGTGTGTATGTGGAGGTCAGAAGACAACTTGTGGGAATCGATTCTCTCTTCCATCATGTGAGTTTTGGAGGTTTACCCAGGTCCTCTGGCTTGGTGGTAAATTCCTGTACCTGCTGAGCCATCCCACTGGCTCTCCAGTGTCTTAAAAGCAATGACCTATTTTTCTAAGTAAAATATGAAGTGGATGACCTCTGAGAGGTTGATCTTGGGACATTATCTGAATAGAGATATGAAGTCACAGTTGAGGGCAGTTGAACATGTGAGTTTGGAGCCCTGGGGAGAAGAGAGAGATGGAAAATGGAGGCTTGGGGTACATTAAAAGCTATCAGAGGTCACCAAGGGAGCATATGGAGGAAAGGGGTCTCCAGAATGCTCGAACATCTGGCAGAAAGAGTTAGCCCATGGAATGAGAAGACACTGGGCGCAGGGTCTCTGGGTCCTGCTGAGTAACACCTGCTGAGGAAGAGGATGAGGTCAGCTTGTTTGCTGCTGAGAGGGTGCACGGAGCTGAAAGAGCGCTGGGTTTTGTACAGATTGGGAATCAAAGCCCAGGAAGGTCTCTGCCTGCCTGATATCTAGACACCATGAGACACAGAAAGGACCACAGGGAGAGAGTGGGCTGCCTGTTATCACATTGAGCTAAGTGACAGAGCTGGGCCACTACCCCAAGCCTCCTAGTCCCCTAAAGGATGGTCTTTACCTGCCTAATAGCAACCTTCTCCCTCAGGCCTCAAGCTGGACCTTCGGGTCTCAGTTTCTTACTTGTAATTCCTCTGCAGAGGATTACCAAGTACCCCCTCCTGCTGCAGAAAATCCTGGAGAATACACCCACGGATGCCCGTGCCCACCCTGTCCTTCAGAGAGCTGCCTCTGCCCTCCAGGATGTGAACAGCAATATCAATGAGTACAAGATGCGCAAGGAAGTGGGTAAGGACTTGTGTTTTGGGGTACATCAAGGGCAGCATTTTTAGTTCCAAAACTCATCCTGAGAATGCTTCATGCTTGTCTAGTAAGTGTAAGGCGCTGGGTTTAAGTCCCATCACCACTGGGAGGTAAAGAGGTGTGTGTAAGTGTGTGGGGTGCATCTGCCGCTCCCGCTGCTACAGTAGATAGGTTTGCAAAATGAAGCAGCATCCATGCATCCAGAAACTCAGCTGCCCACTGAGAGCACAGTACTGGAAATTTAGCTATGTTTACTTTTTAAGAAGTATTAATTTTTATTTTGTGTGAGTGTGGGCGTTTTGTCTACATGTGTATCTGTGCACCAGACTTGCCTTGGAGGCCTGAGGCAGCTGCAGGGTCCTCTGGAGGTAGAGTTACAGGTCAGGTGGTTGTGAGGCACCGCGCATGTGCTGGCACCAGACTGAGGTGCTCTGGAACAACAGCCAGTGCTCCTTTCTCGTCTCCAACCCTCAAGTTTACTTTTAAAATAATTACCACAAATTCACAAATATCTGTGGTGCAGAGTGTGATACTTCCGTGCACATTACAATGTGCAATGATCAGAGAGAATGGTGGTCAGTATAGATTTTATTTGTTTGTTTGTTTGATTGGTTTGGGTTTTTGTTTTTTGTTTATTTTTTTTGACATGTTTCTCTGTTTAACCCTGGCTGTCCTAGAACCCACCCTGTAGACCAGGCTGATCTCAAACACAGAGGTCTGCCTGCCTTTGCCTTCCAAGTGCTGGGATTAAAGGCATGTGTCACCACCACCAAGTTAAGAATATGTTTTGTTTGTTTGTGTTTTGTATTTTTGGGACAGGGCTTCTCTGTAGCTTTGAAGCCTGTCCTGGAATTTGCTCTGTGGACCAGGCTGGTCTCGAGAGATCCGCTTGTCTCTGCCTCCTGAGTGTTGGGATTAAAGACGTGTGCTACCACCACCCGGCTGTGTGTGTGTGTGTACATACACACATGCATACATACATACAAACATACATACATACATACATATAAACTGAGGTCAGTCCAGTTAGTTTCACTTGCGGGGTAAACGGTGTGTGCAGTTTGCTTCTCACCACTGGACTGTAGGAAACAGGTTTCAAAAAGATCTGGGGTCTTCAGGTTTCCTCCCATGCTGGAGAGGGCAGAGGTGCCCAGTGAGGAGAGGGTTTGGTTGACCTTAATAAAACTGTCTGGGGAACCCCAGAAAAGTGTCCCTTTACACCTGCTGTCTTAGGTGATCCTCCCAGCAACCCTGCAAGATGGGAGTCCTCATTTTACAGGAAAGGAAACTGGGGCCCCAAGGAGAGGTGACCTGTTAAAGTACAGCAGGCAGAACACTCTTCATTCAGGATCATTCCTGGGACAAAGAGGACCAGAGTCCTGGGTTTCCCAGCACTTACCGTTCTGCTGGATGTAACTAGGTGGAGCAGAGTTCCAAGTCGGGAGGATGTGGTGATGTTCGCTTCCTGGGTCAGCCTCAGTCACCTGCAATGCCCTTTTCTTTGGTCTCACCACAGCTTTAAAGTATACCAAGGTGGAGCAACTGAGCCTTCGGGAGCGGCTGGCCCGCATCAACACACATACTCTTTCCAAGAAGACCACCAGACTGAGCCAGCTGCTGAAGCAGGAGGCGGGGCTGGTACCCAGAGTGAGTGCGTGCTGGTGGGAGAAGAAGATACAGGGATGAAAGCAGGGTGAGGTACCTTTGGACAGCAAGGTGGCTGAAGCTGAGAGAGAGGGACCACAAAGAGGCACACCACTTGATTCACCAGCATTGGGGGTCTGTTTGCTTATTAGGAGAGCTAGGTTCTGGGCTTGGGCAGAGCGCCAGTCTGAACGGTTCCTCGTAGCTGCTCAGGCTGAGTGCGTACTTCTTCCACGGCGGTAGCGTTGGAGCCGCAGGGCTAAGTAGGCATCCTTGTCTCGTTTTCACACAAAGAAGCAGAGGTCCCAGAGGATGCAACGTCTGTCCACAGTCACACAGCTAGGAAGCAAGTGATCTCTGTGCAGAGGTTGTCCCTTGTGAGTTCCTGAGGCCGGGAAAACAGCTGCACACTGCCCCCGTGTGGATCTTCTGACCCTCACGTGGATGGTTTTACTTACAGACAGAGGACAAGGAATTCGATGACTTGGAGGAGAGATTCCAATGGGTGTCTCTGTGTGTGACGGAGCTGAAGAGCAATGTGGCTGCTTACATGGATAATCTGGAGGTGAGAACCCCGCAGAGTTCGAAAGCCAGACCCACAAGCTGTAGAGGTACCAACTGCAGGGACTCTGGTGTGAGGTGTCAGCCAGGACGGCTGGCGAGTACATGTGATCCATGGTCACAAAACTGGGGCTAAAGACAGCTTCTCACCCCACTGGAGTTCTCATGGGTAAGGGTCAAAGATCCCCTGCACCTGGAATTACAGATGGTTGTGAGCTGCCACGTGGGTGCTGAGAAGCAAACCCAGGTCCTCTGCAAGAGCAGCAGGTGCTCTTAACCGCTGAACCGTCTTTCCAACCACTGGCATTCATCCATCTTTCTTTCTTTCTTCTTTCTTTCTTTCTTTCTTTCTTTCTTTCTTTCTTTCTTTCTTCCTTCCTTCCTTCCTTCCTTCCTTCCTTCCTTCCTTCTTCTCTATCTCTCTCTTTCTTTTTTCTTTCTTTCTCCCTCCCTCTCTTTTAAAAAGATTTAATTAGTTATTATGCATCCAGTGTTCTGTCTGCATGTACACCTGCAGGCCAGAAGAGGGCGTGAGATCTCATTACAGATGGTTGTGAGCCACCATTTGGTTGCTGGGACTTGAACTCAGGACCTCTGGAAGAACAGCCAGTGCTCTTAACCACTGAGCCATCTCTCCAACCCCGGCCTTTTCTTTTTTAATGCCTTGATTTGAATAGGAGCAGGTCATTATCTTATAGAAAAACACTAATAGAACCTGTAGAACATGGCCCTGGCAAAGAATCACCCAGGGGGCACACAGATAGGTGTGATGTTCACGGGCCCCAAAGGAGGGAGATGCAGGCTCCAGCTTGGCGAGGCCCTTCTAATCCTCTAGGGTGGGCAAGAACAGAGCGGTGTATGTGCTTGGTTGTTATGTAGAGGGCCTGGAAAATTGCCTGGGAGGTCTGCTGAATTGGTGGGTTAGGAGTAAGATGCCCATGGTGGGACCTAAGCACCTGTCTTCATTGGTTCCAGGCTTTCCTCTGCTTCCGGCCACACGAATCGAGTCTGGACATTGCCGGGGGTCCTGCTGAACAGTACTGCAGTCTAGCAAGGGACCTTCAGCTCGAGGCCTTCCTGCAGTTTGTGAGTGGAATTTCTACTCCTCCCCCCGCCCCTTCCCCTCTCCTTTGATAAGCAGGTGGTGGCTCCGACAAGAGTAATATTTAGAAGTCAGGCACTTATACAATTGTCATATCCAGTAGGGAAGGGAGTGCTATTCCTGCACTTACTGATAAAAATAGCCCAACCGATGTGCAGCGAGCCGCACCCTGTACCAGGCGCCGTGCCCACCTTTTCCATTCTTGACCTCATTTACCCCTCGACATGTGCTTTGGGGAGAGACACTATTAATAGCCCCATTCTGCTAATGGGGGTTCGAGGCCCAGAGAGCGCCATCTTCTGGGTCATTTACACAGATGAGGTCTGAGTTACTTACAAAGCAGCATTCTATGCAAAATCTGTTTCTAGCACTTTACATAATAACAACACTGGTTATTATGTGTCAGGAATTTGAGACCCTTCCCTGGGCTGCGCTCTGTGTACACTGCATACCATCCGCATGATCAAACCATAAGCCAAGACTCGGCGAGGTTAGAGCAAGGCTTCTGAAGCATTTCCACAGCAACCTCATTACCCGAGGAACTTTTTTGTGACCTCGATATATAGGTATATATAGTGGGTATACAAATTTACTGATAATAAATCATAAGTTTATTTTAAAATAATTCTTTGGTTTGCATATAATTTGACTATTAAAAGTAGAAAATCTGTGCACTAATGGGATGATGTGCTGTTTCTTTTTAAATAAGGGGTTATATCTTGGCCTAATACTTGATACAGATATAAGATCTCAAGACACAGAACATCTTCAAAGAGTCTCAGAGTTGATGAATATTTTGATTTTATAATCATCAATGCTGGAACCATCACTTCACATAAAAACACATTTCAGAATTTTGGGTTATCATACGTTCAGAAAACCTTTACTGTTGCCAAATCTTTTTCAACACCCATGTTCATTCTCAACCCTGCATGGATTGTGATCCACAGTTTAGGCAGGTGGAGATTAGGATATGTTACAAGTTATAGGTTGTCAATGGAGGGGGCCTGGAACCCCAGCTCCCTGCCCCCAGCCTCCCTCCAAGCCCCTACCCTTTGCTACCTCCTGTCCCACCTCTGAAGCTCTTCTCTCCCTGCAGAAGCAGCGACTGAAAGGCCTAGTATGGGACCCACTGTGTAGCCTGGCCAGAGCCCTGGTTGGTCCTCATAACTTGATCAAGAAGCGTCTGGACAAACTCTTGGACTTCGAGCGAGTGGAAGAGAAACTGTTGGATGTGGGCAGTGTGACCTATGAGGAGGAGGCAGCCCGGCACACGTACCAGGCACTCAACTCCATGCTAGTGGCCGAGCTCCCGCAGTTTAACCAACTAGTCACACAATGGCTGGGCCAGATCCTGTGCACATTCGTGTTCCTGCAGAAGGACCTTGCTGATCAGGTCCTGCGAAGGGCAGAGAGCAGCATGGCCCTGGTAAGGCTGCTGGGACTAAGGCTGCAGTAGAGCATAGTCAGGCAAGGCCCTAGCTGTTGTCAGGGCAGAAATGGAGATAAATAGGCCACTGGGACCTAGGACCTAGCAGAGATTCTCGAGATGTCTCTCATGCCTTTTCTCCCTCCTTCAGTTAGTGGAGACAGAGGCCAGGCTGAACTCTAGGCCACCCTAGGTCATCCTGGGACTCGGGAGCAAGGGAAGTTCCTCAGACCCATCCCTGAAGGAGAGGACGAGATGGTGGCAGAGATAGGAGTCTACTTCTTGTCAGTAGATGTGTCCAGCTGGGTCTCCTCCTGGTACTGCTAGCTGTCATTTCTTGGCGAGCACTTGTGGTCTGCCGGTTTGGCCCCCTTTCCAGGCAGTGTCTCCCTCAGTCCTCAGGCCAATCCTGTACATTAGGTGGTCCTTTCATGTTAGAGAAGCCAAGGCCCAGAGAGGGAAAGCGACTTGTGCGCAGATGCACAGCGAACAGTAGATTTTTGATCCCTGACTGTGCAGTGATAGAACTCTGAACACGGGGCTCAAGAGTCTTTCAGAAGGATCTATCAGCTGAAGGCATGAATAGACTTTAAAGAGCGCTACACAAGCCACCACCACGAGCTGGTCCAGGAGGGATTGGCGGCAGTTCCACATCTTACTCTGGAATGTCTGTGTCAGAGCTGAATGGCTCATGAAGCAAGCCTTGGGAGCCATTTCCATGCCTTGCCTTCTGTGTTTCCCTGTCAGCTGATTCCCCATCCCCGACTCTCCCTCTTCTTCCGCTTCCTATCTCCTGACCTCCCCACCTCCCCACTCCAGTCAGCCAACTCTTCAATCCAGGGCCCCATGCCCCTCCCTCCAATACACTGCCTGAGTGCCGCCGTGTCTCTTTCTACAAGCTTTTCAATTGGAAATACCTCCTCAGCTGTCCCCCAGGCCTCTCTGTGTCTGCCATTCAGTGACAGATGAACCCCTCTTTTCAGGAAGCCCCCAGACTTCTTGCTGCTCTGGAGGAGTGGGCGCTTTCCCGTCCTTACCCTCATCAACAGAACTTCAGACATGTTGCTGCTCAGTCCTTACCAGAGCCTACCTTCTGCTGGAGCAATGGGGATCCACGTTTCCCTCAGTTGGGGACTGGGCGGCAAGGATATGAGTGGTCCCTCTTCTGGCCCTCATCAGTATTTTGTATAGGGCTCTGCCTCAGGCCCAGTGCGAAAAAAATGAATTTGACTGGCTAATTCTTTGACTATTCCTCCCATTTCTACCAGTCGGCAGTTTGGGTGGGCGGGGCTAGGAATGGCAGCGTTAGGGAGGTTTATAGCCATAGGAAGTGTATGTATGGCAGGGGTGGGGAAGGGGAGAAGCAGTGGGGGTGTCTTCTGATTGATTTGTGCTATAGATGGCCAGGGCTTGCCTAGGATTGCTGCCAATCCGCCCTTGAATGTATCCAGTGGGTCAGTCACCTGGTCTCACTCCTGCAGTGCATGGCAAAAACTGTCTTCTTTCTGCACCCCAAGAGAAAAGCCATGTCCATCACAAGTAAAAGCGAGGAGTCTGGCAATAACCCAGAGGGTGGGACACATCTGTTGGCTGTGGGATCTCACTCACTCTTGAGCTGTCTGATGAGAATGTGGGAGAGCCTTAGCCTTAACAGGATTGGCACCTCACGGGAGAGCTCAGAACTCTCTAGGTTATAAACAATATAAGCTATGCTAAAGTAGGTGGGGCACAGAGAACAGAGTGACCTGACCCCAGGAGGGGCCAGGGCTTGAGCACAGCCACTTATAGACTTGCACTGTTTGGATGCTGCCTTTCTCTCCATCTCCTGCCTGTTTGCCTTCCTGGCTGGGCTGGTTTTCAGGCAGGCTTTGTTTCTGTGTGGTGGTAGGCAGAGAAGGCTCAAGCCTGTACCTTTACTCCTCAGAATCCAAGGGAAGGGGAACAGCCATGTTCTAAGCCTTTGCACATCACATCTGACAGAAGGGCCTGGCCTAAGTCCCTTGTTCTCCCTTGATCGAATCACGGCAGCATAGGGGACAGGACAGTGGGCAGACAAAAAGAGCAACCAGATATCTGGGACTAGAGGGTGGGTGCCCAGGCACCCCTGGGCCCCTTCTCCTGCAGAGGCTCTGCTGACAGCATCTTCCCACCCAGCTGCCTCACTACCACGTTTCGGAGCCGGACTTCCGGAAGCTGCTGGAGGACACACTAGGCCAGAACAGCAGCCAGCTCCGCTTTGTTAAAGAGAGCTTTGAGAAGGTCCTGCCACCCCCTACCACTCAGGTAAGTGTCTCCTGAAGTCAGCTGTTCTGCAGTGGGGTGAGCTTCGTTCGCTCCTTTCTCTTACTACTTTCCTGTTACTCATGGAAACATTTCTTCTTCTTGTCTCTTTCTGTGGAAAAAAAAAATAAACCAAACCCATATCCACACACACACACACACACACACACACACACACACACACACACACACAGAGGCTATCTCCTAATCCACTTGAACAGCACACCTAGGCAGCTTGTGTTATTGCATTTTATTTTACTTTCTGTTGATTTTATTTGTTTGTTCAGATAGATTTTCATATACCTCAAGCTGGCCTTGAACTTGCTACAAAGCTAGGGCTTAGTCTGAGGCAGCTGTGAAGAGAGAGGGCTCCAGGAATCTGGTGACATCTGGATTTGAGAAAACTGAAAGTGCTTGAGTCACACATGAGAGGTGAAATCTCAAGCCAGCACGTGACGTCCCTGAAGGGACCAGAGGTTCCGGGATGCAGAGAAGCAAGTGGGGCAGGTAAAGGCAGTCTCCATGACTGGCAGAGGGCAGAGGGCAGCCACTTGGGGGAGGCTACCTCCTGCGGTCCTCTGTTCCACCCTCAAGCTTCAGCAAGTTCTCACAAGGAGGCCATGCAACTAGGGGGAATGGGAGGGGACAGAAAATGCACACTGGGAACCTCCTTTCTGTTTATCCTTAAAATCTTTCTTGTTGGAGAAGCAGTCTATTATTCTTACCACAGAAAACAGTTGTAAGCCACGTGAAAACGAAGCAAAAAGAAGAAACAGGTGATCCTCTGCGCTGCAGTTTGTATGAGGGACACCCCTCTCAGCCTCCCTCCCTGCAGCACAAACCTCGGAGTTCTTCCCTGTTCTGGCTGCAGACATGAAAGCCAGCAGAAGTAGGGTGGCTCTAGACAGGGGCAGTCCTGGCGGTCTTTGTGTACCTTCTCTGGGGACTCCCAGGTGCTGCCCTCCTCTGAACTGGTTGAGACTGGATGGATTTAAGAAAGAAGACACAGGGTCTTGCATCCCTGGTTTTGTGAATTGTAGTGACAGGGTTTTTTTTTGTTTTGTTTTGTTTTGTTTTTTGCTGACTTTTGAGACAAGAACTCACTGTGTAGCCGAGGCTGGCCCTGAACTCAGAGCCGCCTTCCTCTGCTACCCAGGTGCTGGGATCAAAGGTGTATTTCTCAATGCTGACTCTGCATCAATGCCAGGGCCGGGGTCTATGCCCAAATGTCCCTGATGGACATGGATGTCTACCTGCCCTTTACCCAACACCTCCCCAGTCCAAAATAACCACATTCAGTGCCAAGAGTACACACAGGCATACACACAGTGTAAGCAGAGACTATGGTAATATATTTGCACATTTGGCTTCCCCTTGGTTTTACAAAAGGGAATATAATCATATTTGAACCTCATCTTGGTAAAACTTTTGCTGAAAATAGTGAATGGAAAAACAACGGAAATGCCAGGCAGTTTGGAAAGGAACTGAGATCCTAAATCTCTCTCTCCAGCAAAATGATAATTTCTGAGTGAAACTCTACTGTATGTTTTTAAAAAGGTTTTTATTTATTTTTATTTAAGGTTTTTATTTTATTCATTTATTTATACAGCGCCTGCATTATGCTAGCAGGCCAGAAGAGGGCACCAGATATCACTGTAGATGTTTGTGAGCCACCATGTGGTTGCTGGGAATTGAACTCAGGACCTCTGGAAGAGCAAGCAGTGCTCTTAACCACTGAGCCATCTCTCCAGCCCCCTGCTGTATGTTCTTGCTGCACCAGTGCATCGTGTCCTGTACAAAACGTGCTCTGATGCCTTCCACACAGTAGGCGCCCAATACTTGTGGAGTGGAAACACTCTGAGTCACAGCTAGCTGTCCTTCATCCATGGTGTGCTAGGGGCTAGTGTGGTCCTGTATTGGCCTCTGAAGAAGCCAGATGACTAAGGCCTAATGTACCATGAAGCCCACAACCTTGTATGGTTCAAAGACCTGGATAAGGCATTTCCTGTGGAATGACTAGCTGGGGGTTATGCACAGGATTTGGGGGCCAGTGCTATCAGTTCTATAACTGACAGATAGCCACACTTGAATTAGCTGAAAGTTTCTTCTAAAATGCCATTGGAAGCTGAGGGCCAGCCATGCCGTAGAGGGAATGGTTGTTCCCATCAGAATAGACCCTTCAGTGACAGGTAGGAACGGACAAGAGTCTCAGCTCACGTTGGCACCAGCCTACACTTAACACAAGCGCCTGTGTCTGTGCTCTGCTCCCTCAGCCACTCCTCCCAGGCTCTGAACACCAGCTTCAGTCTCTCCTGACCCGATACGGCCCCGGGAAGCTATACCAGGTGACGAGCGACATCAATGGGACTGGGCCTCTGGACTTGACACTGCCACGGGGTCAAATTGTGGCCCTTCTACAAAACAAGGATACCAAAGGCAACAGCAGTCGCTGGCTGGTGGACACAGGGGGTATGTGGACCTTTAAGCTCTTCATCCCCTTTTGGGAGAGCCAGCTGCCAAGAGCTGATAGGGAGGTATGGATGCTCGTGTGTGCCAATCTGGCTGTGCAAATTCAGGAGACAGGAGGCCAGAGACAGATGCAGTGGCTCAATCCGCTTACTCAGTGGTACTTGAAATGTTGATAAGATTCAGGCTAACTTCCCCATCCAGTTCCTGGGTGCTGTGCAAGTAAGACTAGCCTTCTTTGAGAACTTACAAGCTATTGGGTGACACGATGTGTGGAAGTAACTTGAATAGTACCTTGAAAAATACAGATGGGTGATGAGAAGGGCTGATCGGATTCCAGCCGCACTCTCAGAATCTGGTTTAGGCCTGGGACAGTAAGATCTCTACTGATCATGGCCTTGGGATGTGCTGCTAAGATCTGGGTTTCACGTGTCACTGGGGTGAAGGGAAGCTCTAGTGTGAGCCCAGGCTAACAAAATAGCCCAGCAGTGTCTTGGAAACGTGAGGGCTGCACAGGATTCTTGTTGGAGACCCGCAGGCAGTTGTTCCACTGTTCCACAGTGATATAATAGCTACTTAAGCACTTTTATGTGTATTATAAAAAATGCAGCTAGGCCACAAGCTCATGATTGTATTGATATTACTACATGGCATAAGGCCAAGCTTTAGAAAGCAAGCCAGGTTTTACAAATCGAGTGGAGCAGTGTATGGTGGGTGCACACCTATTATCCCAGCATTTGGGAGGCAGAAGCAGGAGGATGACCACAAGTTCAAGGCCAGCCTGACTGTCTAGAGAGATCTAGGGACCATACAGTGAGACCTTGTCTTAAAATAATAATAATAAATTTGAGAAATAAATAAAATAGAAAGTGGTACGGATGAAAAACACATCTGTGGGGAAATAATATGGAGCATTAGAGGAAGGTTCTGGGCTTTTCCTGCCTGGGTGATCTCAGGGAGGCTGAGCTCAGTTGCATAAGCAGGGACAGAGGTAGTGACAGTGACACAGACTGACCTCAGATTGGTGTGGAGACTGTAACTTTACCTGGGAAGCAGGAAGTGATGGATGTTCATGATGACAGCAGCTGGGCAGCGCAAGGGTAGATGCTGGCCAGAAGGAGCCCAGGACAGCATCACCAGTAGAAGGCTGTCCTGGTCCTGAGGAGAGCTGGGGAAGCAGCCTTGCTCTGGGTGGCCACCAGAGGGACACGAGCCGTAGTGCCACCCATGGGAAATAGTTGTCATGCCAGCTCAAGGATGAACTTCATCTGCCAGATGTTTCAGATCCCGTGGGCTATCCCAAGGGAGAACCTCTGTCCTGGAGGGGTGAGCCAGCAGCAGCTAGGAACAGTGAATACAGGTGGGGCGGTGGAGGGAGCTCTCGGGGTTCCCGAATGATCTTGTACCGTCCCTTTAATGCCAGGAAGCCAGGCACGCACATTTACTGGCTTTCCCCACCACTAAAAGGCTAGGAAGCTGACTGGCAGCCACTGACCCTTCTGTATGTTTCCTAGGACACCGGGGATATGTGCCAGCTGGAAAGCTCCAGCTGTACCACCATATCATCCCCAGTGAGAAGGAGCTCGGGGGCCGGACAGGCACTCACGAAGACTACTGGCTTCCAGCTCCAGAGCCCACCCAGCCCTCTGTCCCCACTGTCCCAACTGTGACCCAGGTGAGTCTGAGAGAGGGCCGAGGGCTTGCCACCCGTCATCTGCTTACACTAGGGTTTGGATCTTTCCTCTACGATTAAGGGCCTGCTCCTTGCAAGGTCAGGCTGTAACCAGTGAGGAGTTTTTATCCTGGCCAGGGGTTGGGACTCAGAGAGAGGGACTTCCCATGTGAACATCAGGGAGTCAATCCATCACCCCCACCAGCAGGGCAAACAGGAGGCCTCCATTCACTCAGCATTTGCCAGGTGTGGTACTAAATGAGAGTGAAGGTGACAGACAGGGTCCTGGTCCTTTCCAGCTTACACCCTGGGGGAAATGGTGATTGGATTATCGGTGTGAGTGTGTGAGTAGATGCAAAGTTCCCTGCTGTGCCCAGGTCCAGAGTTCCAGGAATAGAGAGTTGGCCAAACATACACTAACTCCTATCTTAAATTAACCCATCTCCATTATCTGTGTATATCTCCACGAGGCTGTGGCTTACCCAGTAAAGTTTTGGCATCCATCTCTGGCGGGGCTACATGACTTCTCTTGACTCCGCCTTCTTTCTCCCAGCATTCAGTTTAGTTTTCCCCCTCCCCCACCTAGCTCTGCTCTACCCTATCACGAGCTCAAAACAACTTCTTTATTAACCAATGGTATTCACAGCATACAGAGGGGAATCCCACATCCTAAAGGGTAGGATGTTGTTATTGACACTTGTAGATGATCACAATGAGGCATAGGGAAGTTAGACAGTAGTTTGATTAATGCTCCCCACCCTTTTTCCTTCGAGACAGTGTTTCTTTGGTTGACCTGGAACTCACTCTGTAGACCAGGATGGCCTTGAACTCACAAAGATCCACCTTCCTCTGCCTCCCTGAGTGTTGGGATTAAAGGTGTGCTCTACCATCAACCTCCCTTCTTATTGTTTTCTCAGGTTCAATTTTTCCCCTAACAAGGAGCCATGTTTCCCAAATCTCACTATTCCAGGTTTAACACTGGGCTGGACAGATAAGCCAGCTCCCTAGATCTGGGAAGGGAGAGGCTGCTGAGGGTACCCACAGACGTGGCTGTAGGGGGTTCAAGTACACCTGTTCTACCAGATGGTGGAACATACTTTTAGTCTGAGCACTCGAGAGGTAGAAGCCAGCAGATCTCTGAGAGTTCAAGGCCAGCCTAGTTTACATAGTGAGTTCCAGGACAGCTAAACATAGAAACCCTATCTCAAAAAAAAAAAACAAAAAAACAAAAAAACCCTTGTTCTGAAATCAGGCAGACTTGACTGTTTAGCTATGTGATTGTCATAATTGTGAGTTCCTGACTTTCCTAAGTCTCAATTTCTGGGGAAAAAAAATGGGGTGGCATTGTTAAAAACCGAAGCCTAGAAAACTGTTAGAACAATGATGACCACACAGTAATTACTAGCCACAGTGCTAGTGGGCATAGCGTCTTCAGGGCTAAGAACGCTTGGGAAGTGATGCACGGCCAGCAGTAGAGACTAGTGTGTGTGTGAGGACGACACCCTTGATGAACTGAGTTCAGCTGTCTGGCATCCTGACCATTTCCATGTCATTCCCGTGTGTTTCAGGTGGTGGCAGTGTACCCTTTTGTGGCCAGGAGCACCCACGAACTGAGTCTCCAGGCAGGCCAGCCGGTAACCATCCTAGAAGCCCAGGACAAGAAGGGGAACCCAGAATGGAGCCTGGTGGAAGTGAATGGACAGAGGGGATACGTGCCTTCCAACTTTCTGGCCAGGACCCCGAGCCCAGCTCCCTGGGGCTGGAGCCTGACCTCTTAGCACGCCCTTTTTGGAGCCCCCATTTCTAGGGAAAGGGAGAGGCTTCAAGGCTGTGTGACCTAGCAGGCTTGATGCAAAGCACATGGGGTGGGAGAGGAGCGGAGGGCACTCAGAAGGCAGGAGGAAGTGGTGCCGAGGCCTTACAGAAGCCTGGTGTGGGTGGCCACAGTGGGCGGTCCTTACAG